ACTATCTTTAGTTCTTGTGAAAAAATAAAATTATTTTTTAAAATGATGTATAGTCAATTAAACATTTTTAAGTAGGCATGTTGTTTTAAGGAAAGTTTTTAATACAAAACTTTTGAACATTGAAGTCAGTATGTTGGGGAAAAAAACAACAAGTTTTGGTTTATTTTTTAAAATTATATTTATTCCTGAGACAACATTAGTTTGCACATTTTTGTATTTTATGGGTACAATTTAACACTTCTTCTACATATATATATTACCATTGCACTGAGGTTTTTACAAATGCCAAGAATAATTTACTCTTTGGACAAGGAAGCTCTCAGTACAAGTATATTTTGAAACCATCCTATTTACATAAAAATATTAATGAAGTTTTGTCTTACTAGAGGGTAAAAAGAAAATTGGTTGCCTGATTACTTGCTGCTGTATGTATAGAAAATACAAACATTAGCAGTAAGTCTCTTAGATCAACTGAGAAAAGTATGATTGTGCAAATTCAAAAATTCTAAAACCCTTAATTATTCAAATATTTGATTTTCAAAATAAGCTAAACAAAGAGTACATTAAACTGTATGCTAATAGCTCTAAAAATGTAAATATTAAATCTACAGAATTTGACATATGCTTCTGTTTGTAAAGGTATTTTTTAATAAAATAGAAAGTCTACCTATATATATATATATATATAATTTTTGAAGTAAAAAAATAGTCTGTAAAGCAAAAATGTCTCCCTTGACTAATATCTGTCTGACTACTTTCTGTCTTATTGTACTCATGTTTGCTGTGTACTCTGGAAAAAAATCCTTTGAGCCACATTTTACTTTATATTCCAGCTTCAAAATAAGAGAGGGAAAGTTATTGGCATTTCAGTAAACAAGAAGCATAAGTATTGTTTTATTGTAACATAGCTCACTTAGCTTCAATGGTTTGAGAACCAATAGTGCTTCCTTCAAAAATTCTGTATTTTTTGCTGTTCGAACTCAGCACTTGCATTTTATCATCTTTATTCATTATTTTAAATCCAATAATGCTGCTGAGGTGACATCCTCAAGTCTTAAACAATGATATTTATTTTTGATACGTTCGCAATTAATTGTATGGAATTTTACAAACTGTAATAAGGTACTAAGAATTAGAAATGTGGTATTATCCTCTACTCTTGGTATAACTTTGTGTTTGCTTATTTATTGAATGGTGACAATGAGTCCCTTTTCATGGCTCCAAGGATGAAGCAATGGGGAAAAAATCCATAAAACAATACTCTATTTTTTAGAGTGAAGATCATATAACAAAAAGTGCCTTAGAATGCACTTAAAATCAGAGCAGAAGAAAGTGTTTAGAATTTGACAAATACAGTAGAAATTTCCACTTTTAGTTGATTGTTCCGAATCTTGAAAACTAGACACTATAATTAAGTATTTAGCCATTCTTTGGTTGCCTTGACACTAAAATACTGTGGTGTTTCACAGTATGAGAAGTAATTTAGATATAATTGATGTGACGTGCACTGTATGCCAATATGATGGGTTTGGACATATACATATACCTATGATGCCATAAGGATAATAAGCAAATTATCTATTGCTTCCCAAGTTTTTTCCATTCCTGTTTGTATTTCATCCTCCTCCTATGAGCAGCAACCCGATTCTTCACACTTTTATGTTTAACTAAATATTGTTCCCAGTTTTACTGAAGTATAATCGACAAAAATCATATCTATTTAGGTTGCACAACATGATTTTTAAAGTGGATAACATGGTGATGCAAGAAACATATACTTTTGTGAAATGACTGCCGTGATTAATATAATTAACACGGCATCATACTCTCATGTAATCAGCTTTTTTCCTTTTTAGTGAGAACACTTTAGATCTACTCCCAGCAAATTTCAAGTAAACAGCACAGTATTACTAGCTGTAATCACCACACTCTGCCTTAGATTTGTAGAATGTATTCATCTCATAACTGAAATCGTGTACCCTTTGACCACCCTATCCCCTTAAACCCCTCTCGACCTTGGACATGACTAAGTTTTGGGTATTAAGTGAGCTCATATAGTAATTGTCTACATAGTAGTCGACATGTAAGTGTGCTCATGAACTCACATAGTATTTTGTTTTGTGGTGTTGGAGCCCACAGTTGACTATGCTTAGGACTTCCTCCTGTCTCTGTACTCAGGAATTACTCCTGGTGTGGGGTATTGGACTCAGGTTGGTGGCAAGCAAGGCAAGCACCTTAACTGTTCTATCTCTCTGTGCCCCACAAAGTATTTATATTTCTGCATCTGATATTTTATTTAGTTCATCATTCATGCATCATAAATGAAAGAACTTCCTTCTCTTTCATTTGTTGAGTAATATTAATTATTATATATTATATATTAATATATAATATTTTATATATTATATATTTTAATATATACTTATATATTAATATATAATATTAATTAATATATATTATGTCTCCACCGGGGCCCAACAGCTGAAGACCTCCGGGCTCAGCCAAGGCCATGCTGGGACCACTCTCCACACACTTGGATGAGCCTCACGCATAAAAAGAACTGGCAGAAGAACCCAGGTGTGTGGGACCCGGGGCTGAGATCTCCAAGCCTGCACGGTTTCGGACTGGACCTGCCAGTAGCTAGAGAGTTACACCCACCCACTGCCGTATAACCCCAACAACGGCCAGGATCCAGAGATTATCACACTCAGCTCCCGGGAGAGAACAAGGCAGAGTCTCCTACCCTGTGCCTGACTGTCTCCACTGGGGCCCAACAGCTGAAGACCTCTGGGCCCCAGCCACGGCCATGCTGGGACCACTCTCCACACACTTCGATGAACCTCACGCATAACAAGAACTGGCAGAGGAACCCAGGTGTGTGGGACCCGGGGCTGAGATCTCCAAGCCTGCACGGTTTGGGACTGGACCTGCCAGTAGCTAGACAGTTACACCCACCAACTGCCGTGTAACCCCAACAAAGGCCAGGAACCAGAGATTATCACACTCAGCTCCCGGAAGCCCGTGGCCGCATTTGCCACCGTGCTACATCTTATCATCTCATTCCTACTTGGACAAACTGGCAGGCTACCGAATGTAACCTGCCCAAACGGCAGAGTCTGGCAAACTCCCTGTGGTATACCCAATATGCCAAATACCAGTAACAATGATGGGTCTCATTCTCCTAACCCTGAAAGAGCCTTGAATATGGCACTTTTAAAAAAAATCTCAGGACTAGGACGAAGGAGACGTTCCGGGGTCCTGCTCGAGGCAATCAACGAACAAAAGGATGGTCGTGATCGTGATGTCTTAATATAAGTCACTGTCACTGTACTCCCATTGTTCATCAATTTGCTCTAGTGGGCCCAGTAACATCTCCATGTGAGACTTTGTTGTTACTGTGTTTGGCATATTGAATACATCATGGGTAGCTTGCCAGGCTTTGCTGTGCAGGCAAGATTCTCTCTATAGTTTGCCGGGCTCTCCAAGAGGGGTGGAGGAATCGAACTCAAGTTGGCCATGTCGGCTGCGTGCAAGGCAAACACAGTACCCACTGTGCTATCGCTCGAGCCCGTCTCCGTCATGAGATTTTTTGTTACTGTGTTTGGCATATCCAATACATCACAGGTAGCTTGCCAGGCTTTGCCGTGTGGGTGAAATACTCTCGAACCCTGTTAGGCCGGGCTGGCTGCGCGCAAGGCAAACGCCCTACTGCTGGCTATCGCTCCAGCCCTCTTAATAAAAGTAACATACAACGGGTAGGGCGTTCGCCTTACAAGCGGCCAACATGGCCGACCTGAGTTCGATTCCTCCGCCCCTCTCGGAGAGCCTGGCAAGCTACCGAGAGTATTCGATATGCCAGACACAGTAACAACAAAGTCTCCAATGGAGATGTTACTGGGCCCGCTCAAGCAAATCGACGATCAACGGGAGGGCCTTTACCTTTTACCTTTACAATTATATGTATCACATCTTTTGTTAGTTTTTCAGCCACACCTGAAAACGCTCATGGATTACTACTCCCGACTCTGCACTCAGGAATTACTCCTGATGTGTTCAGGGGACCATACAGGATGCAAGGGTTGACTACATGCAAAGCTCCCTAGCCACTGTACTATCACTCTAGCCCTTTATCATATTCTTACCCATTCATCTGTTCACATACACTAATGTTTCCACATGTTGGCTGTTGTTAAGAATGCTGCAACAAATATGAGACTATAAAACTTTAAAATACTGATTTCATTCATTTGGATATATGCCCAGAAATAAAATTACTGTAGTGTGTAGTGGCTGGAGTGATAGCACAGCGGCGGGATGTTTGCCTTGCACACATCCAGCCTGGCTGAGCTGGGTTTGATTCCTCCACCCCTCTCGGAAAGACCGGCAAGCTACCGAGAGTATCTCGCCCGCACGGCAAAGCCTGGCAAGCTGCCCGTGATGTATTCGATGTGCCAAACACAGTAACAATAAGTCTCAAAATGGAGATGTTACTGGGCCTGCTTGAGTAGCATGTAGTAGATCTTTTCTTTCTTTTTTTCATTTTTTTAGGAATCTCCATACAAGTTTCTGTAGTGTTGTATAACTTCTGTCTATATCATTAAATGATTTTAAAATTTTGAGATTCAGTTGTTCTTAAATCCCTAGCATTTTTATTTATTTTTCATCTATTCTTTATATTAATGGGCTAGAGCGATAGCACAGCAGGTAGGGCGTTTGACTTGCATGCGGCCGACCCAGGTTCGATTCCTCCGCCCCTCTCAGAGAGCCCAGCAAGCTACTGAGAGTATCTCACCCACACGGCTAAGTTACCCGTGACGTATTCTGTATGCCAAAAACAGTAACAACAAGTCTCACAATTTGTTGTGAGACATTACTGGTGCCCACTCGAGCAAATCTATGAACAACAGGGGGACAGTGCTACAGTGCAGTGCATTATATTAATATTTTCTTATAAATTTTCTGACATCTTTATAAGTTATTTTTTGTCCTTATAAATTCATCTAATCTGCAATTTCTGGGTATGCTTCTACCAATTGATTCCTTATCCCTTGTCCTGGGACACCATCATTTTTTTTAGCTAGATGTATATTTCTTATTAATGCTCTGCAGTTTGTGATATATATATATATATATATATATATATATATATCCACATAGCGCAGAGGAGAGTCTGTGTTACACAGAGCAATAGTAGGCAGGTTAACGTAAGAAGCCTCTGTGAGGGGCTGGTGGTCAGCCTTGGGATCAGTAACCACCAGAAGTCTCGGCTCCCGGAAAGCCGCCTGGATTTGATTGGTGAAAGTTCCAGGAGTGAAGCGGCCAGTGATTGGAGTGGCACCCGTGGCAGCAGCGAACTTCAGCACAGCACGCTGGCCAGTATTCCTGGATGAGATCACACTGACATCGGCTGGGTTTTCAACGACAACAATGGCACGAGCTGCCAGCAGAAGCTTCTCCCAGGTTCTCTTCAAATTTATGATGTAGATGCCATCACTTTTCCTTTTGTAGATGTACTGTTCCATCTGGAAGTCCAGGTTGGTGCCACCTAAGTGGGTGCCTGCTGCAAGGAATTTGAGGACATCCTCCTCCTTCATCTGCAGGACATCGAGGGCTCCGGACATTGTGAAATTTCCCTTTAAGTTACGACGGGAATCCTGAACAACGCCATATGGGTCCCTCGCTGGGCAACGCGGAAAAGCAGCTAGAGCGATAGCACAGTGGTAGGGCGTTTGCCTTGCACGCAGCCAACATGGCCGATCCGAGTTCGATTCCTCCACCCCTCTCAGAGAGCCCAGCAAGCTACCGAGAGTATCTCGCCTGCACGGCAGAGCCTGGCAAACTCCCCGTGATGTATTCGATATGCCAAACACAATAACAACAAAATCTCCAATGGAGATGTTACTGGGCCCGCTCGAGCAAATTGATGAACAACAGGAGGGCCTTTACTTACGTGTGTGTGTATGGTGGAAGTAGCATCTATCTTTTTTAATCTGTTTTCCTATATCTTCTTTTTATTGCAGTAACTTTGTTTTATAGCAACGTGTAAATTTTAGGAGTATAGGTTCACACTTATTCAAATGTTAAAAACCAGGTCACGTAAAAAATGGAGGTGTTTCTATTGTTCAGACATCCTCTATTGATGAGCTGATGTGGATCAATAGTTTAGTTTCTGGTTTTGTTAGAGCAGAATTTACTATAGGGTTGATTCAGTTACACCTCTATAGTGTGACTGCTGTGGGATCTCTCCTACGCATGTCATAGTGGTTTAGCAGTCTCTTTTTTTGACTAGTGTAGACTAAAATGTATCCCAGCATGTATGAGTTTGAAGACATGTTCATCCTATTTTTCTCTCGCCTTAAAGAGTTTCATGTATGGATACAGCTTAGAGTTCAGTAACAAACTCATAGGGTGCTTGCTCTATGTTTATGAAGTGCTTTCTCTTTATACCTCTCTCATCTCCTTTATTTTGCTGTGCTATTCTAGCTGCTTTAGAGAATCAAATACTAGTCATTCTCCCTAGCTTAGTGACTCAGTAATAGTCATTAGAGAATGCTTGGGTCTGTTCTAGCATTATGTTTCAGGAAGTGTTCCTGGGCAGAGAACCATATGATTACGAATGTTTACCTGCTTTGCTTCTCTTCCTTAGATCCCAAACCTGCTTTGCCTATTGTTCAGTGGCTGAAATATTGGATTACTAAAATATTGGATTAATTTTATGCTTTATTTATGGTGAAGAAATGAAAATTTTAGAAACCTCTCTTTTAAAATAGTTGGCTAGCATTTAATTAAAGTTCCATTTTTAAAACTAAAATTAAGTTCATCACAAGGTCATTATGATCTTTCTAACATTTTAGTTTCTGGTTTTATAAGTTAAAGTTAAAAAATTTAATACACTCTCATTTAGTTATTATAGATTTATAGAATTATTGATTTATAGAAATGTTATTCATAAAGTATAAATATATATTTCAAATATTTGTCTCTTAGTATATTGTTTTATTTTTATATTATTGATAGCATTTCTCAGAGTATAAGATTTTAATTTTAACGAAGTCCAAATATCAACACTTCCCTTTATGTGTTATTTTTAGTATTGTATTTAGAAAGTCATTACCAAAGCCAGGGTCATTTGGATTTTTCTCCTGTTTCATTGTGTAAATTTGATAGTGTTAGTCTATCAAACTCTATTACATTTGATAGTGTTAGTCTATCAAACTCTATTACATTTAGGTTTACTGCCTGTTTAAGTTAATCTTTGGAAAGAGGTAAGATCTATGTTCACATTTACTACATTTTAAAACCATCTTGATCAAAGTACCAGTATTTACAATACTGTTAATCACATTTCTCAGATGTATATTATTCTGATACAGAGTCATCCCCAAAGCACCTGCTTTCCTCCACTGCCCAAGGGCCCTTCCCAAACTTATTTTCATTTGCTCTTATTTTCTGGATATTTTCTTTATGTAATCTTGAAGCTCAATTGTTTCCTCAACTATTGCTATTTTGTGGCTCAGAGCTTAAATTGATTTTTTTCTTAAAAATATTACCATACTTTTTTATTTCTGTTATATCTAATTATAGTTTTTGTATTCTAGCACTCATTATTTCTTATACTTTGCTGGCTACCTGTACCATCTTTTTTTTGAGCCATTAAAGATCCTTACCGTAGTGTCACTAAAGTGATTTTCTGAGGGTTTACAGAGCTGGTTGGTATTGATTGTGCTTTCCATGTTATTCAATATTTTAAAAATGTATTTAATTTATCAATTGTTTGTGTATGTAGTTTTAACAATAATTAAAATAATTGAACAACTCTGTAAATTTTAACACATTTTACTTGATTTTTAGTAGTATTCACATGGGAATTAATTTTTATGAATATAATAGAAAATATGCTGTATTTTGATAAAATTATTTTATTGTACTATTATTGTATTATGATCTCTATAAAAAAGAACTACAAGCAGATTATTTAAAAATATATATATTTAATTTAATGATGCCCTGTTGTTCCAGCAACATTTGTGGACAACGCTGCTTTCCTTTCTAAAAAACTAGTTGACTGTGTTTGTGTAGTTCTATTTCAATGCCACCTCCTATGGTCCTTGGTCCTTAAATTAAATTTTTTACTCTTTAGTCAATACATGATCTTGATATATATATGATAAATTTAGTTTACATATAAGTACATATATCTACAATACATGTAATATTATGTATACTGTCTGCAAAGTTATCTAGAAATCTCTTTAAATATAAAATTATTATATAATCACAATTTGATCTTTTTTTCAATAATGCATCTTCCCCTAGAAACCACATGCTATAAATATTCACAAAAGGATTCAAGTAGACTAATCATAGTGATTGATTTGATATAGATGTAGGGTACCAAACTCATTCTCAAAAACTGTGAAGTGAAATTTTTGCACGCAATAATAATAGAAAAGATTTTTTAAAATACTGCTTTATAAAATAGAAATGAACACATTGAGTTCTAGGAGTCGGATAGGATTGTACATCTATAATCACAATCAGTGTCACTGTCCTCCTGTTGTTCATCGATTTGCTTGAGCGGGCCTAGTAACATTGTGTGGCCTGTTGCTGTGTTTGGCATATCGAATACGTCACTGGTAGCTTGCCATGCATTGCCTTGCGGGCGAGATACTCTCGGTAGCTTGCCAGGCTCTTCGAGAGGGGCGGAGGAATTGAATTCAGGTCAGCCATGTTGGCTGCTTGTAAAGAAAATGCCCTACCCACTGTGCTATCGCTCCAGCCCATAATCACAATAATTTTTGGTAATGGAGAACCTACTTATTATGAAATATAATTAAATTTTGAACTGATAATAAGATCATCAAAACAAGATCATTTCTTTCTTAAATGACTCTGCTTGTACAACTTGTTCTTGAATGACTCTGCTTTTACAGTTTGTTATCTTCCTTGATGGTAACTAGCTTTACATGGAGACTGGAAATTGCATTGGAGAAACCTACAACCCAGTGTGACTTAAATGTATCTCATTTATAACTGTTCAGTGAACAAGGGAAGACTGAAGGGCATTTAGGAATCAGAAAACCAGTCTTTCTTCTGGAAGTCGTAATTGTAACTACAGAATAAAAAATGATAAATGAGACAATGATAGATGAGTATGGAATGAATTATATTTAGGAACTCAAATATAAACACATCATATTATTTGGTGCCAGGATTTTATCCTTAGTCGGGAGAAGGGAGCCTATTCTTATAAAACAAATTGAAGAAGAAAAATTGGAGACACTCACAAATGAATAAAAATGCATGTGGAATTCAATATGCAAATGATAACTATTTTGTATACACTGTTGATGGAAGAGCAGAGTACATGATCACAGCTGGAATTCATGCTGGGTCCTTATATAATGTAATATTAGCAGCCACCTTCAGATCAGGCAAAACCCAGTTGTTCAGTTTATGGGGTCTGTCTCCTCCCTTTCCTTTTCTTCCCCTCCAGTAATCCTTTACAGTATCTCTTCTCTTTTAAAAAAGGCAGAAATGAAGTCAAAACCTTTTATGTGAAGAGAAATACTACCAAGCAGAAGGCAAACTCTAAGTAGTTTTTTTTTAAAAAAAGCTTTGCTTTAATAATTAGACATTTTCCCCTGCCAGACCAGTTTATCACTTCAAAACACATATTCTGCATTTCAAAATCTGTCATTGTCTTTTGTGTGTACTGGATTAGTTGATGTGACCCTAATGTTTTAGAGCATGAATAATAGGATAAAAACTTTCACATTGTTTAATCTCCACTATTTTGTGCTTGATTTCTGCATCCTGTTTGAATACATGTATATCTAATTATGCTGTCATATGAGTATCATGCTCTGCATAGTGTTTTCTTTAGTGTTCTAGTATACAAAAATACTTCTACTTCATAACATATAGCTGATTTGTGACTATGAACAATATTTTTTCATGGCTCAGTGAAGTGAATGATGCCATCCAAAAAGGTATGTCCTGGTATTTATCTCTAGATATGTGGATATTTAGAGTAAGACTTTATCTTAGATTATCTAAGTGGACTCTAAATTAAATCAAATGTATATTTATAAGATAAAGAAGGGTAAATAGGAGGCATTGAACCAGGGAGACAGAGATTAGAGTGATGTGTTTACAAACCAAGAAACTTCTGAAGCCATGAAACTGTAAAGAGGCAAGGAAGAGATTTTCCTCTGAACTGTTCAGAGTGAGTCTGATGGTGCATTCATTTCTGATTTCTTGTGTCTAGAGCTTACATGGAATAAACTTATACAATTTTAAGATTTTCATTTTTCTAGTTGCCTCTTGAAGTAGCTATAGGAATAATTAAGTTTAGTTCCTTAAAATTTATTAGTCAAAACTTTATTAATATCGGAATTCTTTAGAAAACAAATGCTTGAGGTAAAAGTTAAGGTGTGGATGCTTATGTAGGACGTGATAAGCAAGACAAGGACAAAATTAAGTGAGGCATCGAAAAATAGAAATCAATGTGATATTATTCCAAACGTCTAAGAGATAAAATATGTTGAGCAGCAAGTGTGTCAGTTCAACGTTTAGACTTCTTTGGAATCCTGTATGAGAAACTGTAGAGTTTATAACAGCGAAAAGAAAACCTACCTCATGGCTCTATAGCATCTTCTGCATACTGTGGTCAAAGTTTATTAGCAGC